CGCACAGTCCCGCGCTCGCCCCCGCACTCAGGCCGCAACCTGGGACTGGGCCGAAAAAGTGGCCCAGCGCTCGCGCCCGCCTGGGCTGAGTTTGGCCCAATCGCGCTCCGCCGTCGGATCACATCCGACGGTCGCCCGGCCGTTTCGCTCGGATAAAACCCCGACGGCGCCCCGTGGAAAACCCTAGGTCATTTTCATTCTCTGCTCTCTCTCTCTCTTCTTCGCCTTTCTCTCCTCTCTCTACCTCATCTCTTCTCAGCCGAGCACAACCGAGCGAGCGAGAGCGAGCGAAGGCGTCCATGGCACCGCCGCCGGCCCCCTCGCCGGCGTGCGGGCTCCCCAGCGGGTGAGCGCGCCGCCGTCGAGCGGCCTGACCGCGGTGACCCCTTTGCCGAGCCCGGCGAACAGCCCACCCCCGGCTCGGTCTTCTTCTCCCTCGCCGGGTGATTAGGGTTTGGATTCTTCTTTTCTTTTCTCTGATTTGCTTTTGTGATCTTTCTTACTTTTTCCGGAGTTCATCCGAATAGATCTAGGGTTAGGGTTCTGGCCCCGACCCCTGTTCTTCTTCTTTCTTTTCTGTTTTCCTTTCTTTCTTCTCGGATTGAACCGATTAATGATGGGGATTCGTTCTAGGGTTAGGGTTTCGCTTTTCAATTGATTTCTTTTTCTTTTCTTTGATTTAGGGTTCAGCTCTGTTCATCTTAAGGCCGAAACCTTTTCTTTTCTTCTTCCCCGAGCTATTTGCGCGGGTTAGGGTTAGGTTCTTGAGATCCTTTCCCCTTTCTGTTCACTGTTGTTTCACCCGATTAGGGTTAGGGTTGGGATTCTTAAGATCCTTTTCCCCTTTCTATTCTCTGATCCGAATAAGGATCTGTTCTTTTCTTGTTGCGCGCCGGTGAGGACGGCAATGCTCTTCTTCCCCCGCGCGGTGGCGGTGGTGACCGGGTTCCAGTGACATCCGCCACCCCCGGTCCCTTTTCTTTGCTTTTACCCGGTTAGGGTTAGGGTTACACAAAGGCAACCGGCTCTGGTACCATTGTTAGGATCGTAGGATTGGTACCTCTGTGTGACCCGTAGATCCGGGTAGACTCCTCGCCTTCTCTCTGGAGATGCACCGTAGCAGGTAGACGCCGGTGCCGCAGTGTAGAAGACGTCCAGCGCGGTGGCGGTGAAGTCCAGTGGCGCTGGTGGAGAGACAGCGGTCCGGTGGTGACCCTGCAGTGGGTCGACGGCGGTGGTTGGGGCTCATCCCGTCGCTGGCAGCACGACCTTTAGATCAGATTAGGGTTACTGTAGGTGGGATGGCGGCTCACGGCGAACCTCGTAGTCCGAGCCCTCACCCCTACCTTTCTTTTATGTGTGCTGTGCGACAGGGGCCCACCAACCGGATTAGGGTTGGGCTCCCCCGATCAGGGAGCAGAGATAAGGGCCCAATAGGCCGTTGGGCCTATTGGTGGAGATCAACTAACACATCCATCACCTCTAGCAGGCAGATTTCAGTTTTCGACACATGCAAAGACATGATCGACCAGCTACCGCCAAATCATGAGAAGCCAAGAAGCCGGAGGTCCCTGATGGTCTGTGCTGCCTCCCAAGTTTGGAATTGCTGATCATCAGAAATAAAGCAAGTGTATATTTAGCCAGGGCCAGGTAGTTAATAATTTTCTCTCGCAACACATTGCTCGTCTTAGTATGTATCTTTGATGCAACCAACTTTATGTATGCAGGGATGGGATCCTGTACATTCCTTTCTGCCATTGGAGCGCGCGGGGCCAGGGATCATCATCTCTAGCTGGCAGATTTAATTTCAGTTTTCTACACTGTCACACAGAGGACAGTTGCAAAGACACGATCGACCTCCTAGTTTCAAATCATGAGAAGCCAAAGAAGCCGGCATGGCCGAGGTGTGTGCTGGAAAGGAAAGGGTGCCGGCCTCGACAGATATCAGCTGGCCTTTGGGCTGGACGACGCCAATTTTTCAATTGCAGATCCCGAGGAGGGAGCAAAACTCTTTGTTTTCCCTGGCCACACAGGGACACGGTGGACTTGCGCACGTACAGTACGTACTAGTGTTGTGTGCATGCTTTCAACTTATTGACAGGTTTTACTATAGAACATGTATGTTCCCATCCATCCCTTGTTAATTAATGTAGGCCCCGTTTGTTTCCGCTTATAAGCGGCTTGTTGGTGGAAATAAGCGAGAATCCCGCCAAACACTTTGCTTATTTCCACCGATTCTCGCTTATGTGGTAAGCCGCTTCAGAGATTTGAACTACGAGAAGCGAGAAAATCTTCGCTTAGATTATAATCCAAGCGTGGCCAGGAGAAGCGGAAACAAACGGGGCCGTAGACTATTGACTGAGAACAAGTATATTATACACACCATATCCATATGGTAAAAAACTATACACCCACAAGGCAAGCACACCCCGCCTTAAATTTGCTCCAGCTCGGCCCCTACATCTGCGGTTGTGAAAATCCTCACCACCAAGGTGAGTGTCACCGGCTGTGGCCTTGACCTCAAAGATACCCTCCTCGATGGGGAAAAAAGGGTGGGGACCGTCCCCATGATGCAATCATAGGCCCCCATCATGGATTTACGACATGTGTCTATGTGCATGCATCCAATGTATAAGAGAGATGTAGTTTTTCTTTCCAATTATTCCATCTAAATTTAAGCAATAGTTTCATTTGTTAGCACCCTGTTTGCTTGATCGTTTCTGTGGCTTATAAGCCGGCTGATGCTGTTTTGTTGTGAGAGAAAAACACTATATCATGGCTGATACGATCATGCGAACAGGGTGTAGATGGACACGTGTACCAAACTTATTCTGGGTGCCCAATGTTACTCGATGGGGACCATCCCAGCCTAATTTTTTTTTCTGAGATGAGACATCAAAAGTCTTGCCTGCAATGGAAGGTCAAATATAAGAACATTAATGCCAAGGCCATAAGCAATAGCAGGAGCTGTCGGCTCACAGATGATGGCCAGGTGCGCATAACATTTTGACCAGCGATTACTCCCATCATCCTTGGTGGCCTGCGACTGAAGTAGGCCAGGCGGGAAAAACGGTTCTTGAATGTGGTGTGTTGATGAATGAAACGTTGAGTAATAAACCCCACCGCAAGCAGACATGCATAGAATGAAGAAACACAGTCAAAGCATGGTCGTCCTCTGCTTTGCACGAGTACTATTATATATCATATATACATACACAGACGCTCTGCTTTGCAAGGAATGAAAACATAACGGATCGGAGCAGATCACAGCCCAAATGCCATGTATGCAAGGGTGCGATTGAGATAGGTGAAGGTACGGAAATTATTATTATTATATATACCTAGACGAAGATAACATGAGAGCAGGAAGGAGACGAGAAAAATAACATGAGACCATCTGACGCTGAAGCAGGGGAGGGAAGTGGAAGCGATGTACGCAACTCTGACCTGCTGACGGCATGCATGCTTCTGTGTACAAAAAAAACCCTGCCGCGAGATTCCAGAAGGAAGGAATTGTAAGTGAGACAGAACAACTTTAAAGTTTGGTTCCTAAGAGTGTGTAACAAGCATTGTATCTTCGTCTCCTTTCTTCCATTAACATAGCGGCTGTGGTGGCAGATGTATTGCCTTTACCAAAAGCGGCTGTGGTGGCAGTTGTCAGCAGCTTGGAAACCCAAGCTCTCCATCTACCAAGATCCAAAGCCCAGTATCAGTTCCAGAAGCAAGGAAAAGAACAAACTATCAAGCAAGCACAAATTAAGTTATTATTATAGTTAATTAACAGTACGTGCATTTATCAATCATCAAGCAAGGCATAACGTGCGTGCAATATATATAACAGCAGCATGCTGGTTCCATTCTAAGTTTGGTACTCGATTCTTGTAGTGTGTAGCAAGGATTGGATCGTGGCCTTTTTTTTCCATTTTCCAGCTGGTCCATCTTATATATATAAGCTAAGGCTCATGCCTGATGCCTTGCCATTTGCCTTACACCCTCAAGAGCAGTTAGCCCAACTGAGACGCAAGCAGTACCTGCAAATTGAGGTGCCTCCATCCTCTATCCCGAAACTATATATGCAGTGAATACTTTAAAGTTCATTTCTGTAATGTCTTCTTACTTGCTTGCTTGCATTGTTCCACCATCCTTTTCCATTATATTCTCTAAACTTCACCTATATCTGTATTTAGAGAACCATGCCATAAATATTTCCCACATACATCTCTAGGTTTTGTTCTGTATACTGTAATACCTTATCACCATTTTTCTTGTGTGAAAATTTCATGACAGAACTACCATATCTTGAATTTAGAGAGCAGTGTAGCCTCGCCATTTTCATCAAAAGTGTAGCCTCTCTATTGATGTAGAGTGAGAAGGGTGGTTTTAGATTGCAAAAGAGATGGAGAGTGCTTTAGAGAGTCTATAGGAGTCTGGCTTATTGTTTTGTTTTCTAAATTTTATGATAAAGCGGTGTGTAGAGATGCTCTTGGAGAAGTTTGTTTCTCTTGCTAGCTATACATGCATGCATGTTCTATTCACATTAATGCAGGATCATGCCTGTAAAATGTATCTGTAGTGAATCTACATGTTAACTACAAGTTCTATCCTTCTAAAAAAAGGGAAAAAAGAATGAGCAAAATAGGTAGCATGAGCGAGGCTGGTTCTTTTTCAGCGTTAGTTTTAAACTCCCCACTGCTCGCCTTTTGGTGTAAGTATAAGCATACTAACGTCTTGATCTTTGAACTCCCAGCTGCTCGCCCTTTTGGTGTAAGTAAGCATACTAAACGTCTAGTATCCCTTGGCAAATCCTAATTCACTTTAAAACAATAGATCTAGATTGAAAAAAAGAATTATCATGATCCAAATTATATTATGAGGGTCTAGTATAAGGTGATTTAGTACAAGTGGCACAAAAGAATAAATGATCCAGTGGTTGTTCTGATGAAACAAGTGTATGATTTTGATGTACTTGTATATGTATAGGACAGACGTCTGGGGGAGCCATGGCTGCAATCTTGGATGCTATGGGACCCTACGTGATGCAGCTGATAGCCGACATGGCAACAAAAGAGGTGAAGATGTTGCTGGGCATATCTGGAGATATTGAGAAGCTAGAGAACAACATGGAAAGTATCAAATGCTTCCTTGCTGATGCTGAGAGGAAGCGCATCAATGAAGTGAGGGTGCAAAGATGGGTTCAGATGCTCAAGAACGCCATGTATGACGCCACTAACATCCTAGACCTATGTCAAATCGAAGCTGACAAGCAGAGGGAGTCGAAAGGTAGCAGCACGGTTGAAAAGGCTCCAGGTTGCTGCCGGCCATTGCTCTCGTGCCTACGGAATCCTGTGTTCGCACACAAGATAGGCAGCCGCATCAAGGAGCTCAACCAGAGGCTAGACAACATATATGAAGAGGCTCACAAGTTCAACTTCATCAATCTAGGATCCCACCCGGAACAGAGGATGTCCACTGGAGAGAAGGTGACATCTGAGTTTGTTGAGTCAGCTATTGTTGGTGAGAAAATTGAGAGGGAGACAAGGGAGCTTGCTCAAGAGGGAGACAAGGGAGCTTGCTCAAATGCTAACCATCAATGGACACCACGACATCAAAGTGGTGGCCATTGTGGGCACAGGTGGCATGGGCAAAACCACCTTGGCCCAGAAGATCTTCAATGAGACCACCGTCCAAGGACACTTCAAAATGAAGATATGGCTAAGCATCACCCAACACTTTGATGAGGTTCAGCTTCTCAGGATAGCAATTGAGCATGCTGGGGGAGTCCATGGTGGGGTGCAAGACAAATCCCTCCTCTCACGGATGCTCACCAACACCTTGTCCATGGGTAGGTTTCTCCTGGTCCTGGATGATGTGTGGAGTAATGTAGCATGGAGCAATGTGCTTAGTGTTCCAGTCAGAAATGCAAGTAAAAATCAACAGGGCAATTGGGTGCTAATCACTACAAGATTAGAAGACCTAGCTCTACGGACCAGAGCCTCCTTCTACCAACATCATGTCAGCCCACTGAACAAAGATGATGCTTGGTCCTTGCTCAACAAATAGTTGCCGCCAACACCTGGTCAAGTTAGTGAACACATATACCATTTATTTTGCAGTTTAATGCACATTATTCCCTTAACTCTATCTATTCAGGGCCTATTTTGACATAGTAGGTTTAGAAAACTATGGTATTACAAACTAGTTACAATATACAACTCCTAGTAAAGCCATAAGTACGCATCCAAATTATCGAGCTTTGTTGTTGAATCTAAAGTGACTCATGAATATGCATCTAAATTATCCACACTAATCCATTACGTGTCCACCTATACAGGTTTGAACCTTTGAGATATAAGTCTTAGAAGTTTGTGGAAATGTTTAGTACCTATATCTAATCAAATTGCTTGTCTTTGTGCCCTTTGTCTCTCTTTTATCCTTTATACATAATAACCATATAGATACTCTGTTACCTCTACCGAAGTGTGATAATTTGACCAAGTAATCTATATGTTTTTCATCAATATTCACTATTTCTTCCTTTTTGTATCACAAAACTATGTGTCCGCAATGGTTATAGTCCATGATGAGCTACGATGTCATGGACTGCATCTTTTATCCTATTATTAGTCATTGTAATTTTCCATGCATATATCTTAAGTTGAAACTCTAGTTGTATATTCACCTATTAAGAAAAAAATAGCAGATATTAGGGAATGACCCCCATTACATGGAAGGAGCCACCTTGCAACAAGACATAAAAGCTTAAGAGATCCTAAAGACAACATCCACAGTGATAACCTAAACAACACATATTTGAGAATGATTTCCATGTAAAATCCCACAAAAGTGCCAGAAAGTTTTTATAATGGCTCATTGGAAACATGGTGAACATTGTGTAACACACTAGCCCGTTAGAAGCATGTAGTTGTGTTGTTGGCCCATGCGTCCCATCTGCCAAATGAGGAGTTATAGTTGGTGCGTTTTGTACCACCTTGGAAGCTTAGGAGCGTGAGGGCGCGTGAGGGCTAGCTTATAATCCTTTTCATTCCAATTGTAGCACCTCCGGGTTAACCTTTTTATTATACAAAGTGATGACGAAAGTGCAAGAGATGTGCTATGCAGACCCGTTCCACATGAGGAGCTGGGCTGTAAGCAGATTTCGGACATATGGTGTTATAGGTAGTATTCAGAGCATCAACTCTTTTGGCATGTGACCAGGGAGGGGTGTACCAAGGGGTGGTTCTAGGCATCTGTTGTGTGTGGTTAGCTGCCGAGGACATCTGCCCTTCATGGGATGAATGTAACACCACAGCCTGTTAGATGCCTGTTGTTGGCCCATGTGGGTGAGGGCTTGTCATTCGAAAAATTGCATCGTTGGGTTAATCCTTTTACACAAATTGAGGACTAAAGTGCAAGAGAGGTGCTATGTGTATGCAGGCCCGTTGCACTTAAGGAACAGTGTCAAATAAGAAAATTATGGACGCAGAGTATTACACACTGTCATCGGATAATGGCACCAAAAACTTCCTAGTGATGCCCTTGAAACTATATTAATTATTGCTTCCGTCATTCAAAAATAATTCTCATTTTTTGTTTTATTTAAAAACTTGTCGGACAAATGACACATATTTTTTTCAAAACTCTTAGGCATTCTTTCATAGCAATGCACGGGCCTTCTTTCATATATTAAAGACCAAAAGGTTTCTTTATCTTTCATCAATCACAATTGCCCGATGGGATCAATCTATTCCATTTGTGTACAAGTTAGAGTAGGATGTCTAAGCATGATGCAGAGTCTATTTCCAAAACAAATTGGAATACAAAAGTGTTACCATGGTCCACCACATTTACCTATGTCCGTACAAGTTAAGTGTTTAGGCGTGGTGTATAGCCCGATTCCAAAATGAAATGGAACAAATGACATGATTGTTGAGAGTTTGATTTTAGATGAATTGAAACACATGAAGTGATTACTAAATAGATATCCAGCACTACATGAGTAATCTAACTACATGACAAAGTTCCCATTGCAACGCACATGTATGTTTGCTAGTAATAACCTAAAGAAAACCCCTAATATGCATCCAAATTATCCATCTCTATCATCATGAAAATAACAAAAGTAACACCTAAATATGCATCTAAATTACCCATATTTTTCATTAGTAAAAATAATCTAGGTAACATAAACATCTGCATCTAAATTATCGACTTGTACAACTATAAAAAGGTAATAAATGTACCTCTAAATTTGCATCAATATTATTATTTTCTTAGTATTAAACATAATCTAAGGTCTCTTATAAGTCTCCAATAAATTACTCATCTCTCCCATCTACATGTAAGATTGGCCACTAAATCATAATTTGATTTTGGCAATTTATGCATATTTAAGGCATGCTTGATTGGCTCTCGAAATTTTTCATGCCAAATATTCAGTTGTGAAAAGTTGCACAAAAATATTTGTCATCGATTTGTCAACCTAAATGTGCGATGTAGGCAAATTTAGGTAGCAAACTGAATGGAAACCAAAAATTTAGCGTCCATCAACAAATCAGCCAATGCATTGGGCGGAACTGCCATGGACAGATCCCAATGTGAGGTGGGCCCACAAATTCCAAACTCAACCTTTCTACTCCATCTGTTCCATAAATAATGCAATTCTCACTTCCCAAGAAGTCAAGTAATTTAAATTTTGACCAAAATTATATAAGGAACTACTAACATTTATGATACAAAGTAAGTGCCATTAAATTATTAAAGAATATATTTTCATAATAAATTTGTAGGGAGACATAAATGCCAATATTATTTATTAAAATTTTGTCACTGGAGCTATTTCGGCTAGCGCGAATCCCACAATTGCTCTTTTTGTGACAGGGAGTATTTATCATTTTAGCTTCTTCCGTCCGCACAGGCGGGGCAGCATATACAAAAGATTATATAGTATAACAAATCGGCTAACTGCTTAACATTATTTTACAAATTAAATATTGTAAATATGTTTTATGAGTGGAAATGGTTGTTTGTGCTGGTAGGTACATGGAACAGATCACCTGAAAGTTGTCGGGATGAAAATTATCAGTAAGTGTGGAGGTTTACCACTTGCTATCAAAGTGATGGGAGGACTGCTAAGTACGAAGCCCCGAAGCGAGGGTGATTGGGAGGCTGTTTTGAAGCATCATGCATGGTCAGTAGCTGGATTGCCTAAGGAACTGGACAACGCGATCTACTTGAGCTATGAGGATTTGTCTCCCCAGCTGAAGCAGTGCTTCCTATACTGCTCACTTTTCCCTAAAGGTACAACTATTTGGCAAAGTCAAGTTGTTCCGATGTGGATCAGTGAGGGATTTATCCATCGACCAGACAGAAGCAGTTATTCATATGATGATTGGCTAGAAGAAATAGCAGATGGGTATTACCAGGAGCTAATCACGAGGAATCTTATTGAACCAGCAACAGAATCAGCTCTCACTCGATACTCATGCACCATGCATGACGTGGTGCGATCTTTTGCAGAGTTTATGTCTAAAGAAGAATCATTGGTGGTCCAGGATCAGCAAGATGATGGTGGTAGCAAGATCAGCCATGTACGTCACTTGTCTATAGGATCAACCAAGTCAGCACTAGAATGGAAAATTGTACAGAAGCACAAATCAGTAAGAACATTAATTATAAATAAAAGAATTAAGAGTTAAATGCACCAGAGGTCCATTAACTTGTGAGGAAGTTTCAGTTGGGTCCATCCACTTCTAAAGTGGCTTTTTGGGTCCATAAACTTTGTATACCGTATCACTTAGATCCATACCTCTCCACGTTGGCTTCTCGTGCTGACGTGGCATGATGACTAGGCTGAAAATAGACCAGCCGCAGCATCGCAGGCGCGCGAGCAGAAGCCGACGGGCGGCACCGCCGGTCTACTGCTGCTGCTGCGGAAATCCACATCTCTAGGCGGCTACGCTCTCTAGGCGGCTTCCTCCGACGAGAGCTCGAGGCGCCGCCGCCCTTCACCCTCTCCGGCTCCCACGCGGCGAGGCTTCCCTTGCCCCAGCGGTGAGCATGGCCAAGGCGAGCCCCACTGCCCCTCCCTCTCCGGTGAACTCCGCAGCCCCGCCCTCCTTCTCCTCCTCAGATCCGGCCGGCGAGCTCCAGAACGACTCCGTCAGGTTGCCGAGCTCCGCGGGAACGCCGCCGTTGTAGGCATTGTATCCGATCTCCAGCTGCTCTAGCTATGCGAGGGCGCCGAGCTCCGAAGGGAGCTGCCTGGTCAGCGCATTCCCGGCGAGGTGCAGGAACCGCAGCGAGCGGAGCTGCCTGATCTCGGCCGGGACGTTCCTGTTGAAGAAGCTGCCGCCGAGGTTGAGCTGACGTGCCGTTGAAGAAGTTGTGGCTGACGTCGAGCGACTCCAGCCGCCGGAGCTGGAACACCGCCACGGCCGAGAACTCCCCCGCGAACGCGTTCCTGTGTGGCCGCGGCAGCAGCTTGCCCGCGCCCACAGCGGGAGGCCATCTCGAGGCCGCTGCGGGTCCACCGGCCGCGGCTCAGGGCCACACCATTGTAGCCAGCTTCGGTTTGCCTACTCTACTCTCCAACACCATAGCTAGCTCTGCTCTGTCGTCACCAGCAAGAAGAAGAAGAAGACAGCGAACGCCATTGCTTGTAGCTCGATCGCGTCGT